ACTTGTCTGTTCCTATAATAGACTTCCCAATTAAAAGCAAATGCCGCATTTTATAGCACATAAGTTAGAAACAATCTCATTAGTTATAGGCAAAATATATATAAATAATATTGAATTTTCCTCCTAGCACTGAAAGGATAGGCAAAATGGTAGAATTCACTTGTTGGTGATCATAATCTGGACCTAACTCAGTCCAGTTTGAAGATCAGAAAACTGCCTTCACTCGTTTAGAGTAACATTCAAATTTAGCCCTTCTGAGATGCTTATAATTTTATATACACATATATGTATATATATACATAAATAGATCCATTCTTTCTTAAGTTGCTGGGTTCAGAAATTAAATGACATTATAGGGGATTTTAGATTTTTTTTTTGGAGGCAGAGTTAAGTGACTTGCCCCTGGTTACATAGCTAGTAAGTGTCTGAGGCTGGATTTGAACTTAGGTCCTTGTGACTGCAGGCCTGACTCTCCAGACAGTATGTCACTTAGCTGCCCCAGAATTTTGGATATTGAACAATGTGGAATGTGTTGTAAATGGAGTTAAAGGACCCTTAGAATCCTGTTGCCTGTGATAGCCCAGTCCAATGTGGGGGGGGGGGATTATGGCATAAGAAGTCAGAAGTTGAATGTTACAGTTAAAAGACCTAATTTCAAGCTCAAGTTTGGCTACTAACCATTTGACAGTGGCAATATAATAGGCCATGCTGGCCTGCTTGCTATTACTTATATATGATACCCCATCTCCCTTCTTCATGCCTTTAGGTGACAGTCATTGCAAAGGCACTGGTCCCTCCTCACACTTTGGAATCTTTGGTTTCCCTCAAAACTTAACTCAAGTGCCATCTTCTACATTCAACCTTCCCTGGTTCCACCAGTTGCTGGTGCCCTGCCTCTACAAATTACCTGATATGCGTTTTATATTAATGCTATATACCTTTATAAATAGACTTGGTTAGAATGTAAGCTCCTTGAGGGCAGGGACTGTTTCACTTTTCCTTTGTATCTCTAGCACTTGGCACAGTGCCTAGAATGTGGCAGGTTCTTCATAACTGATAACTGAGCAATTGATTGAGATTGGCTCTGTACTAATTAGCAGAAGGAACCTCAGACCACTTTCCCTTCTCCACAGGCTTTCTTTTGTCACCTGTAAAACTAGGTTGTCCTACATAACCTATAATTTCCATTTAATGACCTTTTAAGTGTCTTGCTCTCTCATTTCCAGCTTTAATTAGAATGATTAACTTGTTGCAGTGTGTACTTGATTGAGTTTACCTGCATTTCCATACCCTTTGAGTTCCAGATATAACACAGTGCAAAGATCCTTGCTATGTGAGATCAATGTAAGATACCCCAGGTACATCGGGCATGAGTTAGTTTCTGAAGTAAACCTGACCCCTGAAGATGCAGAACTATAGACCTACACATGGACTGAGTGAAGGGAATAGCTTCTGGGCTTCCTGATGGAAGAATCATCAGGACTAATGAATACTAATGTGTTTTATTTGGATATGATATGTCACAAATGAAATGAGTACTGGGTCAGGACTCAAAGCACCTGAGATCAAATCTCCCCTCTAATGCTTACTACCTGGGTATGTCCTGGGGTAAGTCACAACCTCCCTGGACCTCAGTTTGCCCATCAGTAAAATTATGAGTTTAGACCAGATGGTCTTTGATGTCCTGTTCACCCATGACCCTGTTATCAACTCATTGACAGAATTTGCTGATATGGAGCATTACTCCATAGTTGCTTTATCTAATATGTCAAGAGGACCTTGAGTTCTTAAAGACCATGTCAGGGGAACACAGGCTCAAAAAGCATACATGGTGGAATTTTAGTCAGTCTAACAGAGTGAAGAGAAAAAAGTTCAGGTAAAGTGGAAAAAGATATTTTGGGAGAAAGCCAGCCCTGCCAGGAAGACTGCCAAAAGAGCCCTAAGCTCTTCATGATTTTCATAGTTTCTTTACCTCTTTTACTGAACCAGATTCTATGAAAGCACTAAGTAATTTCTATATATATATATACATACATACATATATATACATATATATACATATATATGTGTGTATATATGTATATATGTATATATATATATATATATATAAATATTTGCAATGGTGCAGCATCAGGGCTGAGTAGGAGTGGGATAGGGATGCAGCAGCCATTTCCATGCACTGGTCATATAAAAACAAGTCTTTCTAATTTGGAGAGAGCGGCCTGGAAGATGTTCTTTGGTTTTGTCTTATTCTGAAGAAGGAGTGTTACAACTTTTGCTCCTAAGGGAGCCTTGAATACAACAAACAGTGATACCTTAGGCTTTGTTCTTTTTTTGTGGGAATTACCACTAGTAATGGCAAAGTGAGAAGCTATTCTGTTACCAGTGTATGGAAAAGCTGTACATCTGTGCACTCTATCTCATACGTGAACCCCCATGCCTACCTCACACTGAGGCTTATTGATAACACTTGCTGCTGAGCACTTCTCTGTTACTACTATTCAGTCGCTGCCAGTGGGGACCACACTTAAGCTACTTCTGAAAGCTGAATGGGTTGAATGTGCAAATCACTTCACAGAGTTCTTTTTGAATCATTTCTGCCTGCCATGTATGGAGAGTAATGGATGGGGAACTTCACAGAGCTCTGAGAGGGTCTGGCTTTTGGGGGTTGATTGGCTTCAGCACTTCAAGGGTAATGAGAGCCCCCAAGTGTGTACATCATGCATAGTTCTGCATTTTTAAACATTTCATAAGAAAAGAATTAATTAATCATTTTTCTGATTACTAGCTTATATTTTGGATTTGACATATCCTTTTTTAATTCTCCAGCCTCCCCTCACAGTTACCTTGCCTTGATTTTATATATATTTTGCATATACATATACATACATATGTTTATCTATCTATATGTCTGTCTGTCTGTCTGCCTGCCTTCTGGGATCTACAAAGATCAATCATTCCATCAACAAGCATTTATTAAGCATCTATTAGACGCTAGGTGCCAGGTGCTGAGGACACAGACAAAAATCAAATAGTCCCTGCCCTTAAAGAGCTTATTTTCCATCATGAGATAGAATAATACATACACACATGCATACATATACATACATACATACATTTTTATTGTTTTATGTTCATTCATGGGGTAGAACAATACATATAAGATATACATGTCTATAGATAAGAGCTCTCTCTCTCTATATTTATATTTATTTCCCTCTGTTCTTTCCTTTCTTCCTTCCTCCCTTCTTCCTTCCCTCCATCCTTTCCTTCTTCCTTCCTCTTCCTCCAATGATATCTATTGCGTCTCATCTACCCCTTTTTATCCTGTGTATCTCTTATTCACATTTTCCTATTACTCTTCTGTAGGGGTCTGCTATAGTCTTCCTTTATGTCCCTTGACATTAAATGGATACCAAGGCAGCTAGGTGGTACAGTGGATAGAGCACTGGCCCTGGATTCAAGAGGACCTGAATTCAAATCTGGCCTCAGACACGTAACACTTACTAGCTGTGTGACCCTGGGCAAGTCACTTAACCCCATTGCCTAGCCAAAAAAAAAAGAAAAAGAAAAACACATTAAATGAGTACCACTGGAGTACACATCTATCCAGTTGTTGTTTCTTGCTTTCACAACATGACTAGCTCCCTTCTTCTTTGGGCATGCATTTCTTTGATGACATCTTTTCCGTGCTCCTGGTTTGTATTTGTTTTATACTATGTGCTATGTGTTTTAGACTTCATTTTAGCCTATCTATGTGAAGGTTGCAAGTTAGAATATGATTAAGTAAGAGACAGCGTGATGCAGTGGCAAGAGAATTGGATTTATAACCAGAAGCCCTGGATTCAAATTCCAATTCTGCCTTTTACTGCCTGTGTGAATCTTGAACAAGTCACTTAATACCTAGGCCTCCAGTTTCCCCTCTATAAAGTGAAGAGGATAGACTGGATGACTTCTAAGGTCCCTTCTAGCCAGAAGCCTTTTATACTATGATTCCTTTTTTTTTTTCTAAGCATCATAGAATTTATTTAGAAACAATGTCATCAATATAATTTGTTATGGGCCAAGCTAGGGTTTTTTTTTTGTGGACTGATCTAGGAGCAGTTCATATTTTCCAAACATTTTTATAGGATACTATATTCTAAATTTCACAAATTCTTCTAAAACAATTTATTCCAAATGGAAATAAATGCTACAGTATCATAATAGTTTTATAACGCAGATGGAAGCCTACTAGGACTTGTCCTAGTGTGGGGATTCTGGTCACTGAAGCCTTAATGCTTCTTGGCAAAGATGTGATTATAAAGGGTACATGAGTTAGGGCCAGTAAATAGCCATTGTGATATAGGACCTGAGTCGTGAATTTGGAAAGTATGAACCTTGATGGAAAAAAGGTTGTTATGTAAAGATGGTAAAGAGAAACAATAAGTATTCGGGTCCAGAAGCCTACGAGTACTAGAAGCCATAAGGAAACAAAGAGATACATTCTTAGAAGTGGGAGGTAAGATCAGGTGGGAATGTTAACCCCAGAGGCTCAGTCCAGAGTGAGTGGCAGTGAATGACAGATGCAGAAGAATGTTTTTAGGCTGAGCTAAGGCAGGAGGTTTTCCTCCCCTTTGTGCTAGAAGCCAAGGTCCCTGAGGCTTTCCAGTTGACATAGGACAGGAGACTTCTAGATCCAGGTAATCCTTCTTTCTCCTTTCCCACCATGGTGATTCAGCTGAAGCCAAATGATTTGAATCTGGTCTATCATGACCAGAATTCTGTTGAAGCCAGGCTTAACTTCCTATTTTTTCTTCTTGTTTTATGGTATTTCACAAATGTAGGCCAACTGGCTAGTCCTTTGAGACAGGCAAGAGTACTTATCCAAGGCCAAATCCTCTTGTAGATGATGGGATCATCTGAACAGCCTGCTAGGATTAAAAGGCAACCTCCAAGCTCTCACAAGACTTTGTACCAATCCCGCAGCACCGTGGATGGTCCACTACCAAAGGGGCCAGTGTATGAAAGGTACAGGGTTTGAAAGGGCTGAATGCTGACCCTTCAAATATGGGAAAACGCTTTCAAGAGTTTCTCTTTCTACACTATCAATGACCAGGTCACAGTTAGACCATGATCATTTTCAAATGCAGGGTCTATACTATGATTTTAAGTTCATAAAGTGGCCTGGGAAATTTAAGGAAGGAGGAAAGAATCACTCCTGAGATGAATGAAAAGCCTGAGAGACATAGTTTCTGGATAATTAATAATCAATTTATTAATTAGGTTAACAGATAATAAATTGAGGTCAGTGGTTCTCTTGGAAATCAAAAACCACACCTGGAGGTCTCTTGAATTTTTAAAAACCTTTATAAAGGGGGTTGGCAACTTTCAGAGATCTGGTGTACAGTACTGCATTTGCTCATCTGGGTCAAAACACTCGCAAACATCAAGATTGGTTTAACTAAAATGATGGGGAAAATCAGAAGCTGCTAAATGAAAAATGAGAACTCCACAGGGTTTACCAGCAGGATAGTTCATCCATCTCTCACAAGGCAGCATTTAATTCCATCAAAAGTACAAAACTACAAGCAAAGCTTAGAGAGATGCAGGATTCTTGGCTCAGTAAGAAGGCAGATGAAATTCAGTTTTATGCTAACAGTAACAACAAAATGCTTTTATGATACCCTGAAGGCTATTTATGGGCCAGAGACCTGTGGTGCATCTCAGCTACTCAGTGCTGATGAAGCCACATTGATTAGTGATAAGGACATAATCCTAGAGAGATGAGCTGAACACTTCTATGTGTTTTCAACAGACCATCATCAATCAATGCTGAAGTCATTGACCAGTTAACCTCAGGTTGAAGTCAATCCCTCCCTAGCTGACATTCCAACTGAAGAAGAGGTTTGGAATGCCATTAGGCTCCTTTCATGTGGCAAAGCATTTGTGCTGTTCCTGACAGGTAGAAACCACCTCTTGACTGGTTAACAATGAGCTATTATAATGAATATTATAATATTATAATGAGAGGTGGGCCTTTCCTAATAAAGATCTGGGTACATGACTTTGTCTCTTGGACAAAGAGACTCATCTCAAGCCAGATCACTTCTAATTTGGAGGACAAGGGAAGGCTTCATATGCCTTTGCCAGGAAAACTCAAAACTGGGCCATGGAGAGTCAGACGTGACTTAACTGAACAACCAAAAATAGTTATCATAGTGATAAAGTTCACTGAAGAAACGTGGAAGAACCATAGATATATGAAGAAAATACAAAAGAAAGCAAAGTCTGTGGCATAAAAGGATAGTTTTTGTATTTGTGATCAGACTGTACATGTCTTTGAAGAAAGGAGTACCTGTTTATATTGGAAACTATATGTGAGAATGGGAAAGTGAGTGAGAATTGGCACCAACATTCTTTTAACTTTCTTTGCTTCATTTGTGGTCTAGTAGTGGGAAAATAGCTGTTTGTGAAGTCAGAAAGATCTAGGTTCAACTTCTTCCTCTGACACTTATTCCTTGTGGGACGATGGGCAAGTTGTTTTCAATTTCTTCACCTGTAAAATGAGGATGATAATAATACTTGTATGTTGCACTTCCAAGGCTATTGTGATACTTGGATGAGAGAACTTATGGAATGTGCTTTACAAAATTTAATGCTTTGTGTCATCACCAGTTATCATTGTGAAAACAGTGTCAGTGCCCATCAACACTCTACAATGTGCCCATTTTATATAGGTGAAAGGGTTGCTTTGCTCATCATTCACAATGTGTTTATTCCCTCCCTGGCTAATACTACATCTTAGATCTGTAGCATATTGACACAATTTGCACACAGCAGAGCTAGTTGCCCAATTTACCATTTAACAACAGGTCATTCATTAGATGCTGTCTCAATGAAATTGGTATTAATGCTGAAACTTTGCTAACTGTCCCAATTGTAAAGCTACACGTAAAAATCATTTTGAATGGTCATTTCTCTACATTATACTGTAACACAGATGAAGATGAAATGATTTTTGCAGTTGCTAAGCCCGAACTTAATTCAAGAGCTTTTGAGATATGCATTATCATGTTAGGAAAAGAGGCACATCACTTAAACCCTGATTTTCTAATGTTAATTAATTTCCTCCATTAGACAATTCTGGGTGAGATTTTGATGGCCTTAATTGTCTGATTCCAGACTACCTCTACCAATAATTTAATGAGTTAGATTTAGAGTCAGAGGACCTGGGTTCTAACTCCAGGGCTACTATAAACTATAGGATCTTGAATAAGTTTATTAACCTTCTGGGTCCTCAATTTCCCTAGCTATAAAATGATATGGATGGACTAAATGATCCTTTTAGCTTTAAATCTGTGATTTCATGATTAATTATGGAATGTTGGTTTTTGAATCACCTTGAGAAGACATATGGTGCATCCATCCTCTTGTCTCCCATGATTATTGCATTACTCCAGGAAAATTGTTTTCTATTACATTTTTAATGCTTCAAGATTCTACAGTCTTTCTGAATGATTGGTCCTAAAAATCACATAATCTTTTTAGTTAGGATATATAACTCAGTAATCCTTTGGTATTTCTTCTATTTGGTGAGAATAGAGAAAATCATTGTGTCCTTTGTTTACTGGGATCAAGATTATGTCTATATACTCTGGGTAAATTCGATATAGACTGAAAAACCATTTTAGTCCAATTCATCAAGGACACCCTTGACTCAGAATGCTGTTTCTGGTTCCCTACCAATAGCTCAGTCATAGAGAAGAACTGCAGGGAATCTGACTAACTCGTTTCATTACAATGCAATTTTCTTGCAATCATGTAGACCCACACAGCCTCCTCTTTCTTCAGACAATGTTATTTAAATTCCTTTTAGGAGTATCACAGGCTTTACTTTGTACCCCAATGGAAATGATTAGGGTTTTGTTTTTCCATTTTAATGTGGAAAAAACTTCAGCTTGGAGAAATCATAGGAAAAATCCTAAAAAAAATCCCTAAAAAACCTTCCAATAGAATCCTATAGTCCTGGGCTTCAGTTTTTTTTTCCTTTCTCAACAAACCAATAGAAAATATGACCAAGAGGAAAAAAAGAAAACAAAAGCTGTTCAGGGATCAGGATAGCAACAACAACAAAAAAAACCCCCAGCAATTTTGCAGAAAGATGTCTTTTAAAGCATCCATTTAAAGTTCCCATGGATGAAAAAAAAATGTTATTCTCTAGGCCACAGCAAACCTTTCACTTTGGATCTTTTTTGAAAATGTGAAAGCTTATAATGAAACTTTGGGTCCTAAATGATACCCTTTTGACTTGTTCAGCTGAGAAACAGATTGAAATCTCACTATTGAATCACAGAAGGAAGAGAAAAATCATTTCTTCTCCAGGCTCTGTGCTTGAATTTTGCTATGTTTTTGATCATAGTTGGGAATGATTCATTTTTTGGTAGCCATAATTCTAGTTGCCTCTGTGCTACTGAGTAGCACATTGTAATGTATATCTATACTACTGGCTCCACTCTGTGGCCAGAAGTTATACAAAGCGAATCATGGGAGCAAATATTAAAGGGTGCTTCCTTTTTTCTCTTTCATTTTCTGTTCCTTTCCCCTTCTCCTTTCCTTTTCCCTTCCTTTCCTATCTTTTCCCTTTTCTTTTTTTTGTGTATTTTTTCTTTTTTGAATTTTCTAACTAGTTAACTGGGGGAAACACTACATCTTGCCTGAAATTATAGGAGACATAGACCTTTCCTCTAGGATGGGGTTCTTAAGCCTTTTTTTTTCTTTTTTTTTTCAGTCATTGATCTCTTTGGCAGCCTGGTAAAGCCTATGATTCCCTTCCCAGAATAATGTATTTAAATACAAAAAATAAAATAGAATTGCAAAGGAAAGCAATTATATTGGAATAAAGATGTAATTTTTTTCCTATTCGAATTCATGGATCCTCTGAAATCTATTAGTTCATGTACCCCAGCTTAAGAACACCTGTACCAGAGATTGCTTGTTGGAATACAGAAAATGTTAATTGTTGATTTGTGGGTAATCACTTCATACCTTATAGTCATGCTGTGCTTAAAATCTAGAACCTTGACGTGGAAACAATTTGCCATTGAATTCACAACTTGCCTGTGAGGGAGACAGGAACAGATGTGAGGTTTTATTTCCCACCTAGTAAATTTAAGGAGGAGGTTCAGGATAGACCTCTTTTTTCTCACCTGGCTGCACTACTTTGGGACTTTTCAAACTTTTCTACCCTACCCCCTATCCCAATTGGATACCTCCCCTTCCCCTTTTTCCTTTTGTGTGTTGTTTTCCTCCATTAGATTGTAAGCTCCTTGAGGGCAGAAAGTTTTTCTTTTTTGTATTTGTATCCCCAGCACTTAGCAGAGTGCCTGGCACATAGGAGATGGAATAAATGTTTATTGACTATTCATTGCATCTGACACTTACTACTTATATGACTGTGGGCAAATCATTTAACATCCCAGGGTTTCCATTTCCTCATCTGCAAAATGAGGAGGTGAGATTAGCCTCGGGGATCCCTTCCTGTTTTAAATCTGTAATCCTATAATCTTTAGTTGATAGATAGACACTTCCTAAAACCACAATTCCTCTGGCTGTTGCTTTGTGTCTTTGCCAGAATGCAGAACAGCCTTGAATGGGCTATAGGTGCTGTACTATTCACTTATCCAGAATGGGAAGAAACCCCATTATCTACCTGGGTTGATACTTGTTTTTGTATGGGCCAGGAGAGAGGCAGAAATGTTGACAAAGGGCATGTCCAATTCTTGCTTGGAGGTGTTTGTGCTGCAGGTAAAGGGAGATTACCAATTTCTCAAGGCATCTATCTTTTGTCCTCTAAAAGCTTGAACATATCTTTATTATCATTTTTTGGATTGTATCTATAATTCCATTGTTAGAGCATACTCCTACTAAGAAAACTCTCTCTCCTAATGCAGTTGGGTACTTATTATCAAACCTATAGTTTCAGGGCCTATATCCCTTAGAGGTTAAGTGACTTGCTAAGGTATATATAGAGAGTAGGTGCCAGGACTTGAACCCAGGTCTTCTGGACCCTGAGGTCAGTTTTGTGCTTACTCTATACCACCCAGGGTTAGTTCTCCATCCGCTATACCACCTTTGCCTTTCATTTCTTTCATT